GTAGCTTGCTTACTTCCGGCACACATATCCACCGCACACAAACTACACTACAGAACTGCATTTTGCCAGCGCAACGACCCATTGTGCTGCCTCGGATTCGCACTGCAACATGAGTTATGGACATGGACGTTGTGGCCCCATTCATTTCGAGCACTTCGAGGGCACATATACACTACGTTAAAGAACTACCACTGGCCAGCTGAACGCGCCTTTGTACTGCCACAGATTCACTCAACAGCCTGAGGTATTGACATGGATGTTGTGGCCCCTTAGAGCCATCCATTTTGAGCACTTCCAGGGAACACATACCCTTCACGCATATACTACATTAAAGAACTACGTCTGGCCAGTTGAATGAGCCATTGCGGTGCCTCAGATTCACTCTACAGCCTGAGTTATGGACATGAACGTTCATTCCTATCGTATGCACTTTCATTCTACGGTATTCCTTGTCACCATCCGATTATATATTACTAGTACCCCGGAATACGTTCAGCTGTAGTGTCGTACCAACAATTCAGATGTAATACAATTCCCTTTTTAAGTACCTTGATGCGCATCCACCTCACTCGAGACTCTATCTCAACACATGAGTTGACAGGTGGCGTCTGTTCTGTGGTTTTCAGCAAAATTTATGTGGCAGGAATGTGAACTCATTGCAGGGTTATCAAAAGTCGATACGTCTCAGAATTACTCCGACCGCACGACTGCTGTACTGACGATTCGTTCAAATGGTAAAGACGACTTTGAAATGCTTGATTATGCTCGATAGGGGAGAAGCTACACATCATTTTCATTGTCAAAGGCGAGCCAGGAGGATCGATCGAAACAAAAGAAGTCCCAACCTACCTAGCAGGCCATGTGTATGCCGTTCAATACAAGGCGTGGATGGACAAGCACGTATGGCAGATGTACCTCACTGAGCTGTTGAAGTTCGAGATCACCCGGCCAACTGTCATCCTGGCGGACAATTTGGGCAGCCACGTAAGCGAGTCATCTGTCGACACGGTATCGACGGAATTGTTTGGAATCCTCGCGCCTCTCCCTAAGAACTCAACAAGTGAGTGCCAACCGCTTGATGTTGGCGTGATGGGTCCACTGAAGAGCAAGTTGCGCAAGAAGTGGCTTACGGAGAAGCCAGTCGTCACTGCAGCGGAGAAGCGATTGGCCATGATTCAACGAACTATTCAAGCTTGGGAAGAAATGTCATGCGATCTCATTCGTAGCTCCTTTGAGAAGGCGAAGTGTTTATGTTGTAACGTTAACGGGGAATCAATTGATTTTTTTGACTCACAGTGTCAGCTCATTTGATATTTTGAATGGTTGACGTCGTCATCGTTATTGCGTCTAATATGCTTGCTATTGGTTGAAAATTGGCCAATCGTATTGGTTCCAATTTAATACACAGTGGTACTTGATTCGTAATGATAATTTTGACCATACAAATTTCTAGATATTTGAAGAGTACCACTTGGCAATTGATTCCGTCGTTATCTGTACGAATACTCGCTGGTGCGCGATTTTACTGAATTTTCGGTTTTTAGACCCCCCTTTTTTTTAATTACAGCCGGTTCGTCGGGGGGGCGGGCGGGTTTGAAGGGGAGATAGATTAGTAAAGATAACGACGGAGTCCGAGGTTTCAGGGCTTACTGGCGAAAAGGTGTATCCGGATCCTCATTGAAGCAGTATTTCGGGTCAAAACAACAGTGGAACTGTTTTAACGAGGGAATTATTCTACACATCCCAACGATCCATTTGGTTAGCATTTGGTGTGATAGTGCAATCACAGTCTGATCTTAGCAGTTGGATTCACTTGCTCTAGATGAAAGCCCATTCATTTTCCAATTTCCATCATTAAAGTTCACACTCCTTTTCGCTTTCACCGTGGCCGTCGCACTGAGTTGTCCCAGGCAAAATCGCTTGGGGCGATGAGGCCCCTGACGACGGTTTCGAAATCCTCGGGGGCCAGGAAGCCCAAATCGGCGTTATGTGGCTGGGCTCAAGAAGTCGCCCAATGGTGAGACCTTGTGCGGCGGCAGTCTGATCGCCCCCAATGTCGTTTGACAGCGGCGCAATGTGTTGGTCCAGGTCGTGACGCTGAGCTCCTGGAGCACTTGCGATTTGGGGCCAACAATCTCGACGGCTCCCCAGCCCCGTGTACCCAAGTGAGCACGTCGGCCGGAACGAATTCAAACGACACAGGTTGGATGGCCGTGATGTTGCGTTCCAAGATTACGATACCCACGTCGGTGCCCTTGGGGTGTTTGATTTCCTGGGTGATATTGGCCAGTTCTCCGTCATCAAAACCAGTTAAATAGTGCGTGCCCACGACCACAGAAAGTCGCTAAAACAATACCAGGGCCTCGGCTGCGTTGTTCCCTACCCCAGTGACCGATACGATGTTGGGTGCTGGAGGGGTGGAAGGAGAAGACTCGTGTCGCGGCGACTCGGGGGGACCGTTGACGATCGGCCAGCTGGGGCTTTGAATGTGGTGACCACCTCGGCACGCCAGGTATTTATGAACGCATCAGCGCTGCTCGTACCTTTATGGAACCCATGCGCGTGTCATAATGAAAGCGATGCGTACAACATACATACTGTACATGCACTCACGTACTTTCACTTTGTTTGGCGTCAAAAGCATCATGGTAACGACGATGATAGACAGTCCATGCGACCAAGACACCAGGTGCGCTTACTAACATGCTTATCCATGTCTACATGATCGTACAGAGGTAGCAACATGTGCATGTGGCATAGCCTGTCTTCTTGTCGGCTTGCTGCACCTGGCCTAATGCAGCCGACGTGTCTTCTGCTGCCGCCGTCGTGTTGTCGTGGATCTCGACTACCAAAGCACGCATAAACTTACTCCACGTAAATGAGTCGGTCGTACATACCGACAATGTCTTGTTGGTCCTGTACAAGACCGTCGACTTCTTGAAACGCTGCTTTGATTTCGCCCAATTTGTGGTTGATCGTGATGATGTCTTCTTCCCGCCGCACCAAGTCTACGATGTCGTTTAGATACGTTGTAGCTTGTAGATAATGAGAAAGGATACCATCTTCGTCGTACACTTGGACGCTGGCTTGAGTGTAGATGAGGTCTTCGTTGTAGTTGGTCAAATCGCGCTCGGTGTTCCGACGCACAGACGTGGATCGGATCGCTTGCACCGCCGTACTTTCCGACGCCACGGTCTTTGCACACACTTGTTCGAAGGCCGTTAGCTGCACCTTGAAGTCTTTGCTCAGCTTCCTCGACGCACTTTTGTCGGCCCCCGACGCAGAGTTGACCAACGTCTGCAACTTGGCGGTTGTCGCCTGCACCAGGTCTCGACCTTGCTTTGTGAGTTCTGTTATTTGCTCGTGGTTCGCACGGGTGTCGAGGTTTGACCCGAAGAGAGCCACCTTTTCCTTGATCGTGTTCGTGACATTACCCAAGTCCCCTATGGCCGCCGACACTTCCGACACCGCGGCCGACATCTTGGAGATCTTCGTGCGAAATTTGTTCTGTTAACAGCAAAACAAAATGGAATTTTGTTCCGTAAAGTGCGTCGACAAATTTAGTATGTACCAGTACTACTTCAAGTACTAGCTAGTATGTACTACTAGTATGTTGTCAGTACTATTTCTACTGTAGTTTAGTATGTACAAGTACTACTTCAAGTACTAGTATGTACTATGTTGTCAGTACTATTTATAGTATACTATTAGTAGTACGAGTAATATACTCTGTAGTACTACTAGTATGAACAGAAATTCGAAACGTCGTCAAAACTGAAAGTGTAACTGTATTTTGCAACGCTTCACTTTTGCAACTTGCGCACGATCCACACAGCAGCCATGGCAGCAGCCCCGTACTTTGTGGCCGTGACGAGGGCCGCGGTGGCCTTGCCCCCTCCTCCGTCGGTTAGTCGGCGCTGTTGTCCGCTCTGCCTCCGCATCCAGATCTCTTGGACGAGAGCCAGGTACCTCCTAGACGACGGCATCGTCGTGAGAACTTGAATCGCTCGGAGCGATACGGCAGCCGACGCAACGGTGCCGAGGACTGCGAGGCACACGACGCGGAGAAGGATTACAAAGTGAACTCGGGCCTTCGACGACTGACTCAACTACGTACGTCCCAGCATCACTCACTCCCAGTATCACTCACCATCACATTGTATAGAAGTGTCATGTACCTGCAGAGCGAAGAGAAAGCTCGAGATGGCGGCGGTTTGATTCAACACTGTCGGCGACGGCATCTGCACCAACGACAGCATCGAGCTACACAACACCCATACTGTGATAATCGATCGCATCATGCAACCTCGTACTTGGAGATCTTGTCGTGGAGTATCTCCGTCAGTACATTCGTCGATGACGTGGCAGCACCAGAACGTTCCAACTTGTGAAAGTCAAAGCCAACCATAGCCGTTCCTTGGGCCTATGATATATCACAGTAATGTTATGGTCAAATTTCAAGCTTTCATCCAAAATACTACAGTATATATATTATCCACCAAATATCATCAAAAACTATATAGTTCAACACCATCCTTACGGTCGTGGTGGTCGACTTGTCGTCACCCGCGGTGGCTCCTCGTGACGACGACGTCGTGACAACATCTATCGAGTCGCCTGCAGTGGGCGGCAGCAGTACGTCTTGCAGAGCCGAGGGGAGCAAGTGCACGAGCCCTGGCGTGTGCATCATGGTCTGGGTGTCGCAGGGAAGGCTGTGCACCACTCGTTGCTGCTCTACGTTGTTCAACGGCAGGAAAAACGGAAAATAGTCGCGCAACTTGTCGGCGAATGACGTGTCCGTGAGCCACTCGAGGAGCGTCATGCGCAGGAGCGTGTCCTGGAGGCCGGCGGGAAGGAACGCGACGAGGCCGTGCCGACGGACGTCGTACGTGTACCACCGCCACAGCGGGACGGACCACGCGTACCCGATACCCCACACGCCGTACCCCATGAGCACGAGCGAGAACACCAGCCGTCTCGAGAAGCATTCGGCGAGGAACACGGTCATGGCGGCGCCGACGATACAGCAGCACGAGATGCGCAGCGTCAGCAATGTGAGCCCCACGGGGGTTTCCACGTCCGAGTAGTACATGTTCAGGAGCAGTGCGTACCCCACAGGACCTGACAGCGCAATCGCGGCGATCGCATGATCCACCACCACGGGATCGTACGCTTCCAGGTTGATCAAGGATGTCCCGCTCACGTACAGGTAGAGCACGATGAGCGTGGCGCCTGTGATGACTTTGACAGTGATCGTGTGGCCGTACCAGTCCATCGTGCCGTACAGGTGCTGCAACATGGCCATTTCGGACACGCTCGTGTCGACAACGACCTTGATACAGTCGGCGCCAACTGAGAGCAGCGACGGCGGGACTTCTGTCATCTTTGTGGGAGAAGACATACGCTCCTCAGAGGAGGAGAAGTGCAAGGACTCCGCGGCACTCAATTGACGGGCGCCCCCCGTAGGCGGTGCATTGTCGACCATGGATCGATCGATCGTGCTGCCAGCGGGCGACAACAATCGTTTCGCCAGAGTATTATTAAAACGGCTTTTATTCGCCAGGTGAAATTATATTTTTGACAGTTTTTAATCCTTAATTCTTCCTATAATAGTTACAGACGACGAGGGATTTTACGGGACACCGAAGTTTTGGAAACACATGATTCTTTATAACCAATCAAGTAAATTTATGAAAATAATAATCAATGATTAGCTACAAGATTGGTTCGCGGGAAAACATTTTAAATTCGCGCGTTGATGGCTTTCAAAACATGTACAATGTCATTCCACGATGGCACCAGTTCGTCGCAACAAGATCAGCCCTCAGAAGAAGCCAAGAAGGCGCTACATGCATGCGATGAAGCGCCAAATGGTTGCAAAGATGCTCGAAGCCAGCACTCGTGGCCTAGAAGCAGAGACAGGCATCCCAAAGAGCAACTTGTCGCGTTGGGTGCAGCAGAAGGACAAGCTATTGAGTTTCGACGGTAACATGAAGCGCTTCAACCTTGATGGTGCTGGCCGGCCCGAAGAAATCCCGAATACCACGACGCTGACTGCGTTCATGCTCAAGCTCCGCGAGGCTGAGCGAGCAGTGACATGCACACACCTCGTCAACTATATGAAGCGCCATCACCGACAATGGCTCGACAAATACCTCGGAGAAAAGCACAGCGGCTACCAGACGCTTTTACGGTTGCTACAGGTGTTCTGTGGACGGCACGGATTCACGCGTCAAAGACCCATTAAAGCGAAACGACTGTAAGGCGACGTGGACGAGCTTCGCAAGCTATTCGCGCTTGACTTCCAAACAGCATTTATGGGCTTTGAAGCTGACACCATTTTTAACGTAGATGAGACAGGCATGTCGCACGAGATGCCACCGAAGGTCATCTGGGTAGTACGGGGTGGTAGCTCAAAGATCTCTAGCGGCGAAAAGCATTCGTACCGTATGACAGCTGTGCTCTCTGTGCGCGCGGATGGTGCGAAGTTGCCGATATTGTTTATCATGCGTGGCATGCCGGGCGGTCTGATCGAGAAGAACGAGTTCGATGACTTTCCGATCGGCCATCATTATGCTGTCCAGGAGTGCGCATGGATGGACGCGCGTGTTTGGGCCTACTACCTACGATCTCTTTTGAAGCCACAAGTCCACGCGCCGTCCGTCTTGTTGCTTGACAGCTTTGATTCTCATGTTAGCGATCGTGGCGTACGTATCGCGACAGAGGAAGTCGGTTGTGTTGTCGCGCCAATGCCACCGAATACGACCAGTGCCGTACAGCTGCTCGACGTCGGCATCATGGCACCTTTCAAGAGGCATTTACGCGACCTTTGGCTCGAAGAGGAATTGATTCAAGGCGACGACGAGGAAGAAGATGTCGACATGATGACTGTGACCGCCCAACGGAAGCGTTTGGCCATGGTTCAGCGTGGTATCAAAGCATGGGCTCGCATTACACCCCAAGAGATCCGTCGAAGTTTTGCGAAGGCCATTCCTGAAAAATTATGAGGGACATTAAAATGTGTGTATCATTGGATCAAATTGTCATGTTAACTGTTAATACTGTCTTGAACAATACAGTAATGCTAGCACTTCGAAGTAATTAGGACTGATCTAAATGTACTAACTACTTCATTGAAGTATTAACATAATTCACCATTGTATGAGGTAGAAAAAAGATTGACGCACCCGGGTCCCCTGCTTCTCCATCCGGCACACTAACCACTGCGCCACCGCGTCAAACGCTTATCTTTTATCTTGAATCATCAAACCAATCAATATAAAATATTCGCATGTTCAAAATTAGCAAAATTGAAGCTTCTGTTGTGTGATTGGCTACAATTACTTTCGAATTTCGAAGTTCGTAAGCCAATCATATTCCGATTTCTTGCCAAACTCGAAGTACCAAGTGTCCCTTAAAATACCTTGTCGTCTGTAAACCTATTGTGTGTTGTTGACTACGTAGCCGTCTACTATTAATAATAAGCTTACACCATTTTACCTTTAAGTTCAGGTTATTTCCGGTATATTTCGTCCGACGCACATATGATTCACGCGATGTATGGTGCATTTCATCTAAACGTTTCCATTTATCCGGATTATTCAGGACGTTTAACCTATTTATCAGATACAAAACGTAACTAATAATGATTTAACGTCAACATTACGTGGGTTTAACTTACAGAACTCAGGCGTTTAAACTAAAACGTCTCCTCTGAGGATGGCCGATCTATAGTAATGCACCATAACAATTCAATATATTGTTCCAGTATATTTCGATTAATATCCGGTATAACTTACCCCACAACTGGTATATTTCGCGTGGTGTTCAATATATTTCAAATCCTATCCATCTATTTCGATTTTAGATGCAAATCAACGCGCTTCTTCATCAGATGCTATGTCACCCGCGTTTTCGCCAAGACCGTAGAAGAACATAAGCTACAAGGTGTAAGGTTGTAGAGGATTCATGTCGTCCCATATCTACGAATTAGTCAAGTTCAAAACGCTATTCCACCACCTGCGATTTACTGATTTGCATCTAAAATCGAAATAGATGGAACACCATTTGAAACATATTGACAGTGACCAACAATATGCCTGTTTAGTTGAAATATACTGCACCAAGTAGAGACGAAATGTATCAAATGTTCGACGAACATAACGCACATCTTGTGAATCAGTAGCGCGTAGGACGAAATATACCGGAAATAACCTACAGTTAAGCTCGGTGGCGGGTCTGGATGCCACGAAAAATGGCATAAAATGGCCGTTTTTCCAAGAAACGTTGCAAAATTCGAAATATTCCATTTTGGAGATTTTGTGCATGTGGATGCCACCGAAGTTCAAAAATCTATGCCACAATTTTCTTGAGAATCGGGTGTTTTATTGCATTAAAGAAATGGACCGATGTGGTTTTATGGAGGTTTGTTCTCACGTTGAAGTCTTGCACGGTTAATCGGAAATCGACATAATTTTTCCGTAATTCAACAGGTGGGTGCGGAAATTACCTAAACAGCGAAAGTCATACAAACTGGCAGCATACCACGTAGCTCGATCGCACTAGCTCTTATCATACCTGCTAGACACAGTAGGGGCTGAGGACTTTCCATTGGCCTTTCGACAAGCCGCAACAACCTGGAACGCATGGAGTAGTGACTTCAGTGTCAGCTCAAAACTGTTCGGTAATTTTAATAGATTTGACATTGAATTGTGAGAATATTTAAAGTCCAATTATATAATAATAGAACATTGCTCAAATATGACTTGTAGTCATAATTTATGATCAACTTTGTTAACAAACTAAGAAAGTACGTCGAAGGACTTTGATATCGAATTATAGGCATCGCTTCCATGGAGTTCGTTGTACAACAGTACTACCTTTATGACCATGTCCCTCACCCTCCTGGCATCCAGACAACTTTGTAGATACTTCTTTTCTCCTTTTTATCATGGGATATGAGGCTTTGGGAAAATATTGCAGACGGCCGTTTGTAAATGTGTTGCGATATGCAGTAACTTATACTTGACGGCCGTTGGGGTGTTGAAAATATGTTCATGGCCAACAAATTGAAATCTCTCGACATTTCAAATTTGGATATATACGGCTTGCAAATGTCCGCAAATGCTCGGATATGCATTGAACACGCCCTTAGGGCTGGCTGGTCTGGATGCCACCCCATAAACTTATGCCATAAGCCGACTTGGCAAGTCAAGTACTTCGTATAAGTTACTGCATATCGCAACATTTATGAGAAATGGATTGTGCAATGGAATCCCATGAGACGGCGATGTATCCATTCGAACATGCCGAACTTGTTCCTGTTGTAGAGTACTAGTATCATGCTTAACATGTTCGTACGCGATAATATCAAAGAATCGTGGAACGTACGTTAGTGTAACGTACGTTACTGTACTATTAATAGCGTTGTATAGGTAGTTGGTACAATTGTAGTACATATTACATAACGTGGGCACCATGTGTGAATTACACTGACGGAATCAATCACTCTAGCGGTGAATCAATCATAACGTTATTCGGTCAATGACGGACGCGACTCGGGCGAATATGTGCGTTAGCCTAGATCGGTTGGTTATACTGTACAATGCTCGCAGTGAATGCCGCCTGCCCACCTAACGAGCCGAGACAGTTGCGGTACATATCGGTTGCCAGCTGTATCGATTGCCAGCGTTCTGTCTCGGCAACCTGTCTTCGAAGGCTTGCAATGTACGATACACCTGTGTGCATACCTGTGTACAATAGAATAAACACCACGCCAACTACCTACTGTACCCACAAGTGCTGCCTGCGCCAGTATGGTGCAGAGGTTGTCGACTGCATGTTGTCACGACAGGTCGGGATTTAATTTCGTTCCCTTTATTCAGTAATTGCAGTTTTCGGATATCAAGCACCTTGAAATATCCAGCTCGAGACATGGAGATATTGGGCTTGAGAATATCTGGGACATTGTAAAAAAAGAAACGTGTTCACATTTCATTTATCATTACATCTCATTTTTGAAATATCCGGATATATCCACTAAAATACAGTATCGACATTTGGCCGAAATATGCGAATACATTTGGCGTCATGTGAACACGCCATAAAGGACAAATGGTCTAAGTTAGTATACATATGTATGTATGTATATACAGTATAGTAGTAGCAACAGGTACAGTCCATGTGGGCACTACTCGTTCAGGACATAACGTTATAGATGCACCTTCGTCGTCCAAGGGTGCGACGATGAGAATCGTACGGTTGCACGTGAGCACGTGAGCACTGTATGTTGATGAAACCTCCGCGAAGAATGCCGTTGCACCGATGTCGCACATTTCTTCGAGTACGATCAACAACGACATTTCATGACAAGCAAGTTCTGCAACGTTTCATTATTCTCGATGGGCAACACAGTGGCGACCAAACCTCTCCCGACAAGTCGTCAGCGTCATCCCCATAGACGCACGACCCTCTGCGTGCGTCCGCCGTCCTCTCCCCACGTCCTGGACGTGTCGTTCAATCCAAGTACCCGCGTCGCGTTCACGCTGGTCCACGGCCTCGCGGCCATGGCAGTGCTCCACATCACCAACAACGGGTTGGTCCCCGTCCAGCTATGCGTCAAGCCCAAGCACAGTCGGTACTACGTCGTTCCCATGCAGGACATTGTGCATGCCAAGCGATCCATGGCCGTGGCGATCCACGTGTCTGCGCGAGACGGAGCAGCGTGGATCGAAGCAAAGAAGAAGAAGGACACGGCGGACGGAGACACTGACGTCGCGTTGGAGGTGGAGATGGTGGCGGCGTGGTCGACCCCCCCAGAACAATTGCAGCCCATCAAAGTCGTGACGTTCCAATCCCATTGCACGACGTGGACCGCAGACGACGACTGCTTAGCCCTATAAGAATTATTGCCCTAACTATGTATCACCAAGAAAGTTAGTAACTATTCCCTTGGGGGTCACGATGACGTGTCAAAGTACTTTTGCTAGAAATTGCCCCAATGGTTCGACGGTATAATCAGACTGTATTTTGCCGTTTACTAACAAAATTAACTTTTTTGCATGAAAAAACGGCAAACAATCCGCATAGCAGGCCCATCCGGTTATGGTGGCTTCACTGATGGAAAAGCATGAATTGGTTCAAGTAATCCCAACGTACACAGTGATACTGACTAGAGTTCATGTTGAGGAGGACGAAACTGTGAATTTCAAGCTGCATGGAGGATCAATTTGCCCACGTGTTGACTTCGAAAGGTACAAAAAATGCTCACGAGCAGTGTCGCTCAGCCCAGTCAGTAGGGTAGTCAAAGGAGGCAACTTCGATCTCAATTGCGCTGCATTTACTCGAACCAACGGTGCTTCTGAGAGCATCTAACGAGATATCGATTGGTGAAAATACTTCAAATTGTAGTCAATGATTGGCTCCTGTATTTTGCCCTCGGGTGGTAAACAGTAAAAATGGCCGATTTGCCGTCTCGCGGTAAAAATATGCCGTTTCCGGAAGATACCGTCGTACCATTGGGGATGCCCTTATTAGAACATTTCACCCGAATTTGCCAATTCTGGACAAAGTCAAGAAAGCAGTATGATTGGCTTAAACGAAATGAATATGTCAGTGTGATTGGCTATAATGAAAAAACAGCTATACATGACTTTGTTTGATAGACGTACACCCCGACAGTCCAAAATTCGCGTGGTTTGTCAATATTGAATCACGACGGAGTTCTGATTGGTTGAATATACTTGCTTAAGAGCCAATCCAATCCTTTCTCAAAGTTGGAAATGTGTACCAAATCCAGAATATTAATACTAATACTTCATTACTATCAGGTGGAAATTTGTACAAACACTTGTGTTCGAAAGCTCCCCAACCACAAGTGTACAGTACTCGTGTGTCGTCGGATACTCCTATTATTCTCAGAACCCAAGTGAATGTTTCAGTTATATTGGACTGGTTCAAAAGAACACGGTATGTAGTACGTATATTCCTGTGAGAATATATGCCCTTGTTAATCGCTTATAGTATACTATGGACGTAACCAACGACTGCCATTTTGGCCATCAAGAGACATCCTAACATCCTCACTGTATATCGTCCCTCTTGTGGGCATCTATCCTCCCATTTGGTCAGATTGAGCACAAGTATGTACACGTTCCGTCCGCCCGCATTCATGTCATTCTGGTGTTTCCACGAGATCAATATCCAATTTAGCCCTACAAGAGGATATATATATATACTGTATCACAACGTACAAGGAACGTTATTCTGCGATACCGTTGGGAGAGGCGGCTGCACGGCGCCTTTCGGCACAAATACCTTTTGCTTTTTACCCTACAGTCAATATATATATATATAATGTTTTGTGTTTCTTCAAACCTGGAGCATATCATTGACCCAACCCAATGTGGCAGAAACAGCATTTCCAGATAGCCAATCAGATTGCACGAAATCATCAGTTCCACCAATCAACAACGAATTAGTGCTAATACACCTTTTTGCATACAAATTTCAGTACAACGAACGAATCGATATATTGATAGATTTGGCGATAATTCAGCATAAAAGTAGTCCAAATATTTGGTAAATGGTCTCAATAGTATTGACACAAATCAATGTGCACAAGAATCGGAATGCAGGATATCATCAGTTGCACCAACCCACAACAAAATAGTGTATGCCTTCAATTAGTGTGTAATGGGCATCACTGCTGGACATGTTGTTCTGTACAAAATTCAGTACAAACAATCGATCAATCCACAACAAAATAGTGTATGCCTTCAATTAGTGTAATTGGCATCACTGCTGCACATTTTGTTCCATACAATATTCAATAGTAACAAACAATCGATCGATGGATTTGGCAACTAATCCGCACAAAAGTTCAATATTTGGCATAATATATCCCAAATCCACTTGTATTTGGCGGGCGTTCTTACCGACGTGGACGACGAAGATGGCGGGTTGGTTGGATGGCGTTGGCCTCGTCCTCCGCCCGGCGGGTCACCTCCGTCCGACCGCCCGGCGGCTTTCTTGCCGCCCCGACTCCGGTTGCCGCCTCCCCGGGGACGACCACGTCCTCCTCCTTCTAGCGGCAGCTGCTGATCCGTTGGAAGTGTTCCTCCTTTTGGCATGATCCGCAGCATGCCAGGTTGCATCGTGTCCATCGTCGAAGGCGGGAGGTTCGCCGTCGCACCGCCGCCGTCCGGAGCAGTGAAAAGGCCGTTCGACGTGTTGTTGCGTGGCTGCTTTTTGTCTTTTCCTTTCTTGGCACCGCCGCCGCCGCCTCCTACATGCACACACATCGTCAGAGTCGACACATGGAACGGCGGCGGTAGTTCGTACGAGATTCTTTCGGGGGTCGACTGTCCTCTTTGCGCTTGTCCTTGGCAGATTTCTACGTGTCGTCAGAGGTATAGAGTATGGACGAGAGAGTACCTTTCCGTCGGCGTGCTTCTTCTTGCCGCCGCGGGTGCTGCTGCTGGTGGTTTCGGCGGGGAAACCGGTGGACGTGCCGCGTTGGCCATACTATCATAGACAGGTTTAGAGAGAGAAATAGACATGGAGATACGACGACCAACCTTGCCGCCTTTATCGCGGCGCTCGACGCGGCGGTCGTTGAGGAACTTGACGAGGGCCGACACGGGTTTGTCCTTGACCTTGTCGTCGCCGCCTTCGTTCACATCATTCGCGGTGACGACGGATTGCTGCTGCTTCTTGTCGGGGTCGTTCAAGTCGTCCAGAAACGCCAGATAGTCTGGGTCCTTGGCGATCGTGTTGGACTTGTTGTCACGGCGCCGAGGTTTCTCCCGCGGGAGCCGCTGGTTCGGCGCGACGTGCACAGAGAGCACGATGGACGATCCATTCGCCAACGTCACTTCCTTGCCATGCAACACACGGAGCGTGTCCTCGAGCTGATCAGGGTCTTTCCGGAATTGCAACGTCAGGCGCGACGGCACACTAGCGCGACCATTCTTGGCCGGTTTTCCGCCTTCCCATCGGAAGAACGTCGACGGAAATATCGGTGTGCGCAAGACAGAGTCCGTGTACGTGATGGGGAACCCACATGCACTCAGCGCTTCCTCGCAACTGGCGTCGTGCGGCAGGTCACGAACTACGAGCTTCTTCCACCGCATCATCGGGGCAAAAATGTTTGGCAAAGAACGAATAACCTTTAGCTGTGCATATTCCTTAGCAAATAATATGTGAAATGTATTGTCACAGGTATACATGAACTGGTATTTTAATAGTTTTCAAAGTTGAAGTCTATAGCTTTAGTAAGTTTATCCACACGAATGCGAGGCAAAGTATACATAAGAAATACTAGTACAGTCCTCGCCACATGAATAGACCCACCCCATTTTTGGTCGTTCACGTTTGACACAAACTATTCTACACTTCAGGCCAAGGCACATCTTTCTAACTATCAATAGGCAAAGCAATTGATGTATGATTTAACATTCTACGAGCTGTAGTTCATAATTTATGGACAACGTCAAAATTTGACCCGCGCCACATGATTAGACCCATGTATCTCGGTTAAACTATATAAATCTGCCGATGAGAATATTTCTCATGCGCAACCTAACAGTAAGTTAACGTTAACATTGTGCTTTTCACTCGTTTTGGCTATTCACACCATAAACGAATGTCGCAATAATGATAATCCAAACTCAGTCAATGAACCATAAACGTTTGTTATCAGGGTTTCGGGGCTTCGGGGTAATACATCGACCCTCGATAATCCGTGAATACCGTGAATTAGGATCACGTTTCGTTACAGAATGTAACTATAGGGAGGTCATTTATGCAACTCCCTCGTTTTTGCACATTTGAAAAGTGCAAATCGAAGTTATATCTGCTACCGGTATTCTCGGGACCAAATTGCACAATTCACTGGTTATCACGAACAGTTTTGATACAGTGGTTTTCTACGATGTGGCACTATGTACGTACGGTAGAACTCCGGCGCTTGTCCTCGCTGTGTGACATTTGTAATACCAGTACGCCACCTTTTTGTTCCATCGCGTAATACATGCAGGTAGCATGTACTACGCGATTATTATTGCTCAGAGTTATTTGGTATTTATAAAACCCCAGTAAATTAGCTAAAACACCAGGTATTTATCAACCTTAATAATATACTTGAAGTACTTCGAAGTAACTTCCTCAGAATCGCTATTAATATTCCACCTTCGTCCCAATGAGGAATATTCTCATTGCCACAGTCAATATGGGTTAACTCAATCCAAATACTATGATTTAATTGGCTAATCCTGCCAATGAGATTACTTCTCATTGGGCGAAAATCTCATCCATCCTAGTGGGTTAACAACGTTAAGACGAATTGGACGAATTTTCAACTAACGTTATGGTGTTACTATTAATAGTACTAGTACATCATAAGTAAGTCCAAGCTTTGAAGGACTCGATGCATGCTTCAACAAGTTCTTGCAAGTTAAAGTTAAAATTGTGAATTTTGAGATAATATCAGTAAATGGCTTTACAGTAGTTTACAGTGTTACAAAAAGTTACTATTAATTCGAATACGTATTAATAACTACTGGGAGTACTACAGTAGTAGCATTGACTGTGAATACACCAACACTAATACTCTCTAATACTAATACAGTACTCTCTAATATTAACTGTAAATATCTAAACAGTGGGACTCGAAATTCTATTGTCGATTAGAAAATATTAACTAGAGTTTATATGTAATTAAATAAGTTTCGTCTCGCAACGTGCGTCATTCTCTGATAACGTTACTACGTGACAGTATCTGGCAATTGTTTTTTCTGTTATTTACGTCAGTGGTACGTACAGTATTTATTCGAGCGTCAAGGTACTCCACAGTTCCGAGTGCATTTAAGATATTTTAAAATTATTACTAAAAAGTAACATTTCTTAACGATATATCAAGAGTCGTCGAGTTGGTATACAGTACAGTACCGTAGTATGCTGGAGGACCCAACTTTGAGAAACTCTGGGATGGTAACGTTATACAGTGTTCGTCGTCATGGCACAGTATTATTGTTACATTACTACCAGTCATGCCAAAGTCGTACTCTTTGGACGGAGACACACATGTCTCGGTTGTGAATTCCATGGATCGGTTGGGCGGTTTCACGTATGAGTTGGAAGTAATTCCGTGTACAGTCCTCCTCTGCCAGTACAAGCAATATCCCCGTCTAGATAGATCTGTACTAGCTTCGAAGATCTCTACTGAATATTAGTCGTATACTTGTAACATTAGAACAAGGAATATATATATATATGTATGTATGTATGTATACCCCATCTTGATTTGTCCACGATCAGGCATAGCCGCGACGAAACGAACCTGTGGAAATGGATATATAAAATGTGCAAGGATTTCTACCCAATCAGCAGCATTAAATCGAAACGGTTTTAAGTTCGATACGTTTATCGAGTACAATGGCAATATTTAATTCAACCGTGCGCTGAATGTTTCTGGATAGTTTAATTCACAAGTGGTTTTGGGCTGTGCGCCGACGACTCCCCTCTACTACAAGACACACCACAGCAACAACCGACCACCGTCGACGACCAGCGCGACACTCCACTTGACCGCGCTGACAACATGGTTGGAAAAGCATCTAGTTCGTCGTCGTACCGCATGAGCTCCAGCCAGATGATCGCGACATCCCGCGGCAGCACGAGCGAGCTCGAGATGGCCGGCACCGACAGCATTTCGCTCGCCCTGCATCCGTTCGAAGATTTGTTTGAAACAGACTGGGAAGGGTATGTGTGGAAGCAAGGCCACGTCGTACGCAACTGGCGCAACCGCTACGGGATCCTCACGGGCACGTGCTTCACGTACTACTCGTCGAAGGAGCATGCAATGGCCGATTTTGAAAAGTTCAAGGGGCGCGTCACTGTGACCGGCGCGAAGAAGGACCCGTCGCGGAGCAACGGGTTTGTGGTCACGACCTCGATCGACAAAGTCTTTTGCATGTACACGAAGACGCCGATCGAAACGGAGTTGTGGATTCGCATGATCGAAAAGGCGATTCAGGTCGCGTACTTTCAGGCGTCGCTCGCGGCGTCCGCGCAACTGCCCGACTTGATCCTTGAAGGGAACGTTTCTTCTTGTTCCGCAGACACACGCCATCTGCAATCGTCATTTGCGAACTTGTCCATGTCGTCGAACCAGCACCTGAGCTTGAGCTTCAACGGTCACATGCACCCGAACCCGGCCACAAATGTCATGCGCCACTCGCTCGGGAACTTTGCGCCCAGTCGACTCTCCATGAGCCATTACAACCCAAGCTTTAGCGGCAATGCCCCCCCTGTCCCGTCCATCCGGTCGTCGGTCGAATGGAAGAGCCGCAACGTGTCCACGACATCGCACTTCTACCACCTCTGGACCACCGTCGTGGCCAACTACGAGTCCAAGATGCAGCACCCGACGGTCTGCTGCAATGAACTGCTCGTGCTGTTCCCGCTCTGCTCGCTGGACATTGTCGTGTCCATCCATTTTGCGATCCCGGCGCTCCCGTCCGCCGTGTACTATGGCCGCGAAGGCGTCGTCGACTTTTTGTTTTCACTTAGCCAAGTGGTGACGTTATCTGACATGTCATTGCATCGCGTGACCCTGAGCTCGCGCCCGAACGTGCTGCTGGTCAGCGGCGTCGGCAAAATCACCAACAAGGCGACCAAAACCACCTACGCTTGCGAATGGAAGGACGAAGTGACGTTATCTCCTGGCGGCCGCGTGCTCAGCCTCAAGTTGTACATGGAGGTGGACCCGGTACGCTCGCATGGGTGTTTTGTGTGTACTTGTCTGCGATACTGTGCATTATTTCACGTATATTTGGACATGTGCGTGATGATTTCGCCACATAGCATTCGAATCCACTTGATCTTGGATTATTTTAGCTTGCTTGTACATACTAAACTATACAACGAGTAGTATATATATATATATATATATATGGTTTTGCCCAGTGCCGAGACGGGGTCAAACGTTTGGATTGGTAGAAAATATTCGACAGGACGTGATTTGATTGGCTCTGGCGTTCGTGTATCCACCATTTTCTCTCTTAGGACATTCGAATCGATATTCGATTTTGACCATACTGTAGTGTATATCAATGCCTTTTCTTTTATTTTGCATTTTTATTGTTGTGTGATTTTGGCTGTGTTTTTCGTGTCTTTTTATGCTTTTATTTTATTTTAGACCAGGTCTTTTTTTTCTTCTTTTTTTTACTATTATATATATATATATTTATGTAGGCTGCGTTTCACGCGACGGACGTGGAAGAGCGCATGGCGCGACTCAAGTCCAATTTAAAAGCGACTTCGTCCAAGCGCGTGCTGTCGCTGTCGATGCAGCACTTTGCAGTAAAAAAAGTACTTGGTCAAGGCACATTTGGCACGGTAGGTGGTCGAGAAATCATTATTATTATTTTTTAAATATTTTATCACAAGTAATTTGGTTGGTGGTAGGTGGTGTTGTCGGAACGCAAAACCACGGGCGAGATCTTTGCGATCAAGATTCTGGACAAAAGCTCCATGTCCAGCTACGACAAGGTCCGCACGCGCACGGAAATGCGCATCCTTCGCGACGTATATCACCCGTTCATTGCGCCTCTGCGGTACGTTCGACCTATCTAGACTTGTAGTACAATATGGTAAAGGATTTTATATATGTATACTGTAGTATGTATATATATAGATATGATATGGTCAAGCATTATATATATATATATATTGTCTGCTTTCGAAATCTGCGATAGCGTTCGGAATCGCCAGTTCGTGATGGATCCTGTTGGAATGTGTGTATATCTATCATCTGCCTCTCCCGAGTGGATGTCGTCTCGTCCGTATGGTCTAGTAGTGCGAGTTTCTACTACTAGTACTAGTACTACTACATTATTTGTAGCTCCGTCCACATGGTGGTATTAACTGTAGAGTTGTTATATTAGGTTTTCGTTCCAGTCGCAAAGTCGGGTGTTTCTGGGCATGGAGTTCTACCCCGGGGGGTCATTGTATACGCATATGAACAAGTTCTCCGAGGACGGCGACCAGCGCATCAAGCTGCCCATCGACTTGGCGCGCATCAAGTTTTATGCGGCGCAGCTCGTGTTAGCCCTGTGTCATTTGCACGCGTGTGATATTGTGTACCGGGATCTCAAGCCAGACAACATTATGCTCGACAAGGAAGGGAATATTGCGCTGGTGGACTTTGGCCTGAGTAAGACCAACGTGCGGTCCCTCGAAGGTGCGCGGACGATGGCGGGGTCGCCGGCGTATACCGCGCCCGAGCTGCTTAAACCGAAACGCAGTCGCGAGTATGGCAAAGCAGTGGTACGTGACGACTCTAAAAGTTATATATATATATTTGAATATATATATATATATATTGGTAGGACTGGTGGTGCCTGGGCATATTGATCTACGAGATGATGTTTGCCAGACGTCCGTTTCACCACCCGAACGTGTCGGTGCTGTATCGGTTGATCGACAAGGATCCAGTGAAATTCCCTGGGAGAATTCCCATTTCCCACGACGCCAAGTCGTTGATTGTCGGGTTGTTGGAAAAAGATCCCCACAAACGTCTCGGTAGGGAAGAATCCGAATCTAATCTACCTGAAAAACGACCTGAACGGCATATATGATTGTGCACGTTTTGTAGGCGCCCACCATGCTAGCGACATCCTCACGCATCCATTTTTCAAAGGCATGGCGTGGGATCAAGTGCTCAAGAAGAAGGTCTCGCCGCCGTGGAAGCCCGACACGACCAAGGACCTGTCGCGGCGCACAAATGTGGACTTGGGGCGCATCGTCATGAGCAAGACGCCGCCGCCGTCGACGTCCATGTTCAGCTTCTTTGGATGGAAACCCATGGACACATTGACCAAACCCAAGCCCAACCCGATTGCAAACCCCGATGCCGCCGGGGAATTTGGCCGCTTTAGCTACGTGTGCGACTCGACGCCGTCGTTTCTAGTGGACGAGGACGACATGCTCGAGGCGGCCTTTTCTGGACGTCGTAGCGTCCAGCTCGAAGCGCTGGCTGTCGAAGCGTAGACACGGCCGTATTTTATTAATATGTCACACAAACATCACTATATATATATATATATATTATGGTTGTCTTGCAGCGAGAACGGCTTTCAAGTGGTAGGGACCAAGTCGGCGAGTTTTTTGTAGCGAAATTGGGTTTCATGTGCACGGGATGTTGGATTTATAGTAAGTAGTAACTACTAGTAGTAACTACATGAGCATCATCTACTGTAACGTAAAAGTCCAGTTTAAGGTGCTCGATCCAATTTAATGTGCAAGCGAATTAGCCAATCAATTCCTACAAAGGCAGTTTTTAACCTAACCGCCCAAAAATATGCAAATGGGTATACAAAGACTAAGCTTAAAATGGTGCACCTTAAATTGGACCGCTTGTTGTAAGCTGGACAAAGTAAATGATAATCAATTATAACAGGAACCATATCGCATTCATAACTCCCGAGTTGGCCTGGATTTTGACCTTATTTTAACATATTGTAGAATTATAATCCGCTTCGTACGAGTAGTCGAGTTACATGCCTTCCAAAGTGTTCTGAAATTGGAGTGTTACGTTATGTGTTAAGTCGTATGGTCGGCAACAATGTAAGCTTCAATCGCAAACGCAAACGGGAGGTGACCCCAGTTGACGGCCACGGAAGCATACAAGACGTCCATGGACACGGCGGCGGCGTAGTTCCCAGGCGGGATGTCGTACGGAACCATGCCGAGGAGGACGCCGTTGAGCGTGAAGAATATGCGCTCGTAGTCTTGGTCGTAGCCACACCCAAACACATTGTCGTGGGGGCCTAACAGCTCGGGCGGCCACATTGTAGTACTAGTACTACTAGTAGTAGTACTAGGGGCCACCAACGGCATCGTCACCAAGTCCATGCCAGTGTGCATGACGACGAACGGAAGCGCCGACTTTGGAGACGACGAATACTGGTGCTGGTGTGTGTGGTAGCCAAAGGACAGCGGGTGCCAGCCCACGTGCGCATCTGACCCAAATCCATACAGGCACTTGGTGCGATCGGGGAGGTAGGCCATGCCCAGGCTCATTGCGGAGGATGACGTGGCTTCGAAGTATGTGACGTGGCGGTGCAACGCTATCGCACACGGAATCGAAGCCAGAGGCTGGAGGGATCGAATGGATTCCACCGCGCCGTGCTCGAGGCTCCGAAGCATCGAGTTGTTGACGACCGTGATCACGTGGGACACTGGATCGGAGGTGACGTCGGCGCGTGTGGACAGCTTGACGTCGACGGACATGCGATGCACGTGCATGCGCCAGAGCTGGATCCACGAACAGTGTCGGTACGCGTCCGGCAAGGCGGAATGCGGATGATGTTGCAGCCACGCCGACGAGTACAAATGCATCCATGGAAGCGGAAGCATGGCGAGGCGACGAAAGTGCCGACACACGAGTTTGCTCTGGCACAACGACGCCACGTCGAGGTACTCGAAGCACAGCTCCCACACGTGTTCACCCAACCTTTCTTCAGTCCTCTGGATGACCTGAGCCTCGTTTTGCTTTCCTTTGGCGGCAGCCGCCGCAGCTTTTCGCTGGCTCTTGGTCTGCTTCTTGGCCTTGATTGGAAGCGCCACGATCGAAGACGACAGGTTGCTGCTGTATCCCCCTCCTCGTCCTCGAGAGTCGTCGCGAGCCAGCACCGCGGCATACTGCATGTTGTCCTACTCCTAAAGTACGGATTTTCGCCATTGGACGAAACAATGCGTACTTAAGCGTCAAATCAACGCGTTATGATTGGCTCGCAACTGTTCACGAACGGGCGTCATGTCAAATGGACTTTGACTGAGTTACAGTAGTCCCAGGATAAGCCATACAGCATTATGTACATGTCCTGCAAGTCATTTAATTTCAAATGTTCTAGAGCTTTTTGCGATGTTGGTGCAGTATTCTTGCATACAACTTGACATGTTCACAGGTCAAGTAGGACTGCACCGCAACATTTTCCAGATGCATGTTCAGTACCCACGTCAATCAATCCTTCTTGACACCACACTTTACTGTGATGGGTTGATCTCATGAGAGGGGGTGGCACCTGGGCACGTACGCATCGTAGGTATGTTTGTACTAATAACGTTCAATGCGCCTCTTGTTACTGCTGTAGATACGTACTAGTTAAAAAATATTCACAACCACGCACATAGCCGGCCAATGTAGATGGGAGGTTCGGGGGTACCATTTCCAACTATCGTGCTGTGCAACTACAACTTAGACATGCCAACATACTTGGTAGTGTATGCTACGTCTCACTGGTAATCGCACGATGCTAACTTTGCGAAACTATGTCAATTGTATGCAGCCTGCTTCCGAGGTGGGGGGTCGTTTTGATCTAAATGGCTATAGCCTTGATCTAAATGGCAATACCCACATCAACCACATACGTGGCCACGCCAGCTCCTGATGAATATTGATATACTAAGGACAACAGAAGTTGGACGTGTTTGAGCTAGTACATACCGTGCAGCCACGTAATAATTCCTAGTACCCCATACTGTACCAGATTCTAGGAGTACATTTGGTGATGAATTCTAGTGTAACGACGTCACTCCAGTGGCGTCATAGGGTTATCGACCAATCAGAACAGACGTCACTGTTGACGTCAGTTTACGACCAAGCTCGATTGGCGTGCGGCGTGCTCGGCCATGGACACCAGAAGTTCCTTCTGCAGAGCGCACGTATATATAGCATTAGATATAGTATAGTCACAGTAGTCATGCATGTAGATGTAGATAACGCCAATCAATCAGTTTTACAATTTCCTCTGCGTTATC